ATGAAGATTTCTGTCTTCTGGGTTGTTGCCCTGTGTAGTCTGGTCGATATTTACCAACGTTTCAGAGGTCATACTGCCTCCATCATCAGAGTATGAAGATTTCTGTCTTCTGGGTTGTTGCGCCGTGTAGTCTGGTAGAAATAAACTTCATCTTCATGTAGTAAAGACACACATTACCACTGGATCATAGGTCAATGTTTACCTAACCTCACAAAGAGATGTAGAGGTTCTGGGTCATCCCCGACTGCAGGGAGAGTCTTTTAGTTTTCTCTCTTCTGTAGAGCGTCTCTTTGTGGCAAAATGATTATACAACACTTCAGTATTCACTGACTTCTAATAGTTGTAAGTAACTAGGTCTTGATATTATTGTTGCAGACTACTTCAGTGGTGGAAACTTGATTAATCTGCTGAGGAGGTGGGACACATTTACAGAATCTGAGACGAGACTGTACATAGCTCAGATAATCTTGGGAGTAGAGCAACTGCATAAGGTAGGCACACTGTAATGATCTCCGATAAAACAGACAAAGCAAAACCTAAATGTAATTAGTTGTAACTGATGAATTATATAGCTGTAACATTTTTCGATTTCCTTTAAAACTTAATTTCTTTGTAAAACATGAAATTATTTTTTTTAAATTTCTGTTAGAAATGTCTAAAGCAATCACAAAGGTTATTTTTTATGAATATTGTTTCCACGTTTCATTAGTGAAGCCTTTGATTTATTCTGTCATGTTTATTTATTTAATTATTATTTTATTTTATACAATAACTGGACGTCACAGAACTTGTACATTTATATCAAATCTAAAACTTCTTGACGATGGTGAAGAGTCAATTGAATAAAAACCTGAATAGGAACCTGAAGACGGAGATAGAGTCTCATCTCCGAAACGTCGTTTTACGTTTTATATTTACTAGACGATGGATAATATCCAAGAAAATTTTTATTCAATTTTACATTTACACTTGTAACGTAAAAATGTAAAAATTTAACCTAATTCCATAAGAAACTGTGAGCAGTGTATTTATTTATAATTACTCTCAACACTATAAATGTGTAAACCAAAGACTAATTAATTTAGTCATCATCATCAGTTGCATGATAAATTTTGTTTGTTTCGTTTTTGAGGTTATAAATTCCAATGCTTTCTTTCAGTTCATATTTTATGTCATTTTCATTCTGCAATATATTCTTCTCCTTTATCATGTAAACAAAATCTGAAATTATAAATGCAGACTTTTTTTATTAAAATATAATGCGTAATATTATTTTTTTGAAGTAAATTAGGTTCGGGGGGGGCAAAACTGGAGGTTTTCCAAAATTGTCACATCATCAGAATTAGTTAGGCTCAATGGTGCTTTATTTAATCAGTAACGATAAATATGCCAGCTTAGTTAAGAGCGATACGTATCAGATAAAAGAATTTAACTGCATCTTACTCTCAGAGTACAAATGTAACGTCTCATCTCATATCCCCAGGGTACATAGAATTTAATTAGTCAATTTGTTTATTTCAGATGAAAATAATCCATCGAGACCTTAAACCAGAAAATATTCTGCTAGATTCTGACGGGAATATTGTAATCACAGACTTTGGTTTAAGTAAAGAGTTCCTGTTTCATCACGAGGTAAATTATATATCTACCTTATATTTTCGTCAATTTACCTACAGAAACAAATTTGCTGGAAATGCAATTGCTGTACGAGGTGCGATCGGAAAGTTT